AAAAAGTATTTACCTCTTTGCTGTTTCCTGTTTTGCATATTTGTCACTGTTACGACCCGTCTAGGGCCAGGCCATAACATGAGCGAGGCACTCGCTTCCCCCCCAAGACCCAAGCAGTCACACGCAACAAATTCGTTAGATGTGAAGTGATTTATTTACAATGTGAATAAAGAGAACCAAAACGGGAGTGTCAACACTTCAGGGTGAGCCAAGGCCAAAACAATAAACAAAACAAACCTACACAAATCCCGCACCCCTGACCTCACCAAAATAAAGTCAAAAATAAAGACAGAGTCTGACCTCCTTAACCAACTCAAAAACAGGAGAAAACGGGTGATCAAAATAAACGGCAGCTCACCCCTACCCACTCCACTTCCACAATTTTCGCGCGTATACTGCAGCCAGCGGCTACCACAGGACTACTGCTGGGTGATGAGGAGAAATGCGAGGACCTCTCCCGCTGGAGCACTCCAGCCTCCTTTTATTGGGCGGGTCCTCCAGCTGGATCCAATCACGCCGGGGCAGTAAGTCCACGCACCAATCGGAACAGGGCCCTGGCACAGCTAAATTAACATAGACAAAAACACAGCACCTGCACAAACAAACACACGGACATACAAGTTCGTAACAGTCACACTTAATTTTCAGGTAATTTATTACTGACAACTCATACAAGCGGTCACAAAAGAACCCAGATCAATATCTAAAGAACCGCAGGCTTCACTTGTTTCAGTTAAGCTCAGTGTTCATGATTCAACAACAAGAAGAGACTTTGCGAAAATGGGAGTGTTTGAAAGTGAAAGCCACTGCTGATGTAAAACTAACCCATCATTTCATAGAAAGAACATCATACCAGCAGTCAAACATGGTGGCGGTAGTGCGATGGCCTGGAGAAAATACTTTTTCACAGCATGGAGGAATGATGATTGTCTGGTTATGTGATGGACTTGTAACCTTTTCAGGGTGTACCCTGCTTCTGTCCCTATGGGAGCTGTGGCCTTAAGGTGGTTGAGCTCAGATTGACGTCCAGAACTTCATCTAACTCTCATTATAAGAGAATCAGGATAGACTGTTGTGATTGTTCCAGCCTCCTCCAACAAACAAAGATTGGATCTAATTCAGGGAAAAGCCAGACAAGAGAGAAAAAAATTAATGAAACATTTTCTTTACTCTAACTAATCAGTCGCACACAAACAAAATAAAACAACAATTTAACCTTGAGTTACATAAACAAGTATCCACTTCTTTCTCTGATGCCGACTTCTGTTTCTTATTCCAGCTGCTTCAGGTGAGTCCAGATTCTTCAAAGTACAGTAACAACTTGTAGTGTCTTAATTAATTAATGAAAAAATAGCATAAACAATGAACAAAAAAAGAAGATAAAAATTTATGCAGTTTCTATCCTTCAGCAGCAGCAGCTACATTACAGAGACAGAACAACATGACATCAATCATTATGCTAAAACCTCTTTCACACTATGCAAAAAATGATCAGATAAATCCTCTTGGTGCTCGTATGGAGTTTCTTGACTTCAACAGCCATACCACTGGTGATATTTACAAGGAAAACAGTCAGAGGAGCCAGAATCAGCTTTGCCATCAAATTATTCTATGACAGAATCATTTCATTGGTTCAAATTCAGGTCTCTCTGTCGGTCACTCTTTTCTTTGCTAGTTGTCCACATCATCAAATTCACTGTTGCCGTTTGATAAAATGAAAATAGTTTTCACGTCATCTTTATTTTGACATCTGGATAAATATTTTTTTTTGTGCATTTTAACATTTAAAACAAAGAAATCTGATCAAATGAAACTTTGAATTTTTCTTACCTTTATTTTTTTAAGTGTATCATTCTAAAACCTGGATATACATCTGCATTAAATCCATAGAAATACATTCCAGAGCCAAATACATCCACATGTTTGGTTAGGAAGAAGATGGTTGAGATGCTGAAAGTCATTTCCGATGATCCACTCTGAAATCCTTCGCAGCATGCAGCACTTTTGTCAGTTGTAAACATGACTCTGATCCAGCTGGATGAGTGAACCAGATTGTTAAGAAGTGGACGATGGAGCGCTGCAGCATGATTTCTTCTGGATGGACCTCCACAGCCTGAGACCCGCTGATGGAGATTCAGGATGAAACAAATCAAATGTGTTCTTAAACAAGAAAATGCAATTAAAATTAATCAATTAATTGAATTAAGTCTTAATTAATGCTAGGTTAACAGAAATATGACATCAAATGTAATTAAGTTAGCACAGGCTGTAGAGACTGTCTTAAGAGACAAAGCTGTTATCAAGGTAAAGTTCACCACTGCACACACGACTGAAGCTTTGCAATGTCTGGAATTGAAGTGAGACCCAGGAAGGGGGGTCTTTCAATAAAAAGAGGAGGGTGTTTTTCTCAACCGACCACAAAAACGCTACCAGGAAAAGACACTGATACTACACTTATACCCACATGATGTACAAATGACATTTTTTTCAGTATGTTGGAGCTGAGGATATTTATGTGTGTGTGTGTGTATATGTGTATATGTGTATATATATATATATATATATATATGTGTATATGTGTATATATATATATATATATGTGTATATATATATTTGTAAAAGGCTTAAGAAATGTGTAGAGCCTTCTTGAACCTTTATTATGATGACTGATTTCTTCCTGTGTTGTATAATAACTATGGCTACTAGAAGGTGCTGTTAATACTCCAGCTTCCTCCCACAGTCCAAAGACATGCAGTTAGTGGGGATAGGTTAATTGATCAATTTAAATTGCCCATAGGTGTGAATACTGGAGTGAATTAGAGTGCGAATGGTTGTCTGTCTCTGTGTGTTAGCCCTGCGACAGACTGGTGCCCTGTCCAGGGTGTACCCTGCCTCTTGCCCTATGACAGCTGGGACAGGCTCCAGCGCCCCCACAACCCTGGAAAGGATAAGCAGAAGCGAATGGATGTATTCCTGTCGTGTTCGGGTCAAATCTGACTGACTTAAAACACACATAAATATTGTTTTTTACATCTGATTGCCTCAAGGTCTTATGACTTTCTCCACCCTATGCACTTGATGATGACCTCTTTCATTTAATTTTGAGTGTTTAAATCAACCTTGTTACATCTGTGGTGTCCGCCGTAGGAAATTAATGGGAATCCACCCCCAATTATGACTCAGTGCTTGTCTACATATTGTCAATTAAGGCTTTAAAAACCAGCATGGTAGTAGCAAAAATAAAAAACTCTGAGGCTTAAAATATAAAGTTCAGAAACCAGTGGGTAACATCATGGTGAGTGCAACCATCCTTTATATATAGTCTGTGGTTCCAATAGCCTTAAGATCAGGGGTCACAAACATACAACTTCCAGCCCACTGCATGAATTTATAACGTGTGGAAATTGTGGTGAACGAGGCATCATTTCTTTGTCTTTGTGTGTTTATTGCACCAGGAAGCATTATGTTGTAAGTTATTACAAATGCATCTCTGTATGAGTAGTTGACCACCTTTTTAATTCCACCCAAGTACAAATACAGGAGCATTCTTAGTGTATTTGCTGTTAGCATAGCAGTTTGATAAGTTAAGTCATCTCCAGCTGTGTACTCTCATTTTTTTTGGCAAAAAGAAAGGAAAATATTTATAGGTAATAATTTATGGTTTACTTGAAATAAAATGAGTTTGACACTGCTGAGCTAAGGGTAAGGCCAGTTTCCACAGATGTCAGTTTTGTACTGCATACTGCAGACGGTGGGAGCTACTTCTGCTATGAGTCTTCAGAAACACATGCTTTTACTTTAGGGTGAGAAAATGTCACACTGCTGCAAGCATCTCTTCACAAGTTTGAACACGCGATGCACGTCGTAGAGCTGAACTGGTGATGTGGGTCTAAATAAGTGAGACCTGTTACAAACCCTCAGGCAGCTGTATGGTGATACAGCTTTAGAGAGGTTTGAGTTACTTCTACAAACTTGCTCACTGTAAATACTGTATGAAATATACTCTATCTTCACGTTAAGAGGTCTGAGGTTGTTGGTTTTTTTTTTTAATTCTCTGAAAACTTTTGTTGCAATGATTCTGTGGGTTCCAGACTTCAGACAGTCATCGACTGTAAAGGATTTTCATCCCAGTATTATAAACGATCCTTATATTTAAATTTATGCTATGTTGTCTGATTTAAGTCTCTGTACATGGTGAAAAGTGTAGAAAAATGGCTCTAATAAAGTAGATTTTCAAAACTCTCAAATTAAATCTGAATGTCTGCACTTCAATCACACAGTGATTGTTTGATCTCAGTTCCGGTGGTGTAAAACTACAAGAGATGCGTTTTTGTCCAAGAAATTATAGACTGTACTGTGCAAAATGTCCACAAATAATGAGAAGCAATTAAAATATGTCTTCAAAATAAATATTTTAGTTTAATGTTATGCTGTCATACCCCATGGTTTGTCCTGTAGTTTCTCTGGAAATTAGAAAGTGTGAATGAGAAAAATAATTTCATACGTAATTTCATGTATTTATTCATCTCCATATTTCTACCTAAATGGAAAAAATTATGAATCTTAATAATTTTTTATCTCTACCATGATCATATTCATATTTCAAATTTTGTCAAATATATATCTGAGATTCTTTATTTAGAAGAATATAACAAGTGAGTGAAAGCTCTTGCTCTTTTAACTTTTCACAGTTTGGTCATTTCGGCAACCGGACCAGTGATTCGTACTACAATGAAAGAACTATAAGCATCAGGCTTTGGATTCTGATAGAAATCTCTACAAGCAAAAGAACAAAAACAAAAACTCTTTACAATAAACCAACTGAAGAAAGGGGCTTAAATATGTCTAAATATATGTATTGTACTGAAAATGACTTAATAATTACTCATGTAATATATACAACAATATCGCCAAGAGAGGGTGTAGTGTAGTAGAACAGAAGGACAAAAACAACGGCTTGAAATGTGCATTATAGGTCATCTTTAATCAACAGACTATAAAGTTCAGATAAACGTTCTGTAACATTTAGGGTTCTTGCCAAAATTGTATTTTGGATTATTTGAATGAAAAGTTATTGTTGTCTTATAAACCAATTAACAGTGGTTGCATAAATTTTACATAATTAATAATTACAACTCTTCCCACACACCAACGGTACAAAACCCCACATACAGATCATGTTCCACTCTGAGCTAACGTTGGGTTCGGTTTGTGAGTCTATCTCGTAGCAGCGTACACAACATTAGGCTCCAGCTCCCTCGGTGGTGCAGGCCTTCTGATTTTAGCTTTGGGATGGAAACTCACTGCTGTATAGGTCATGGCATCAGAATTCACATTCTGTAAATGAAAATGTTTAAATTCAGTAATCCCAAAACATCACATGTTAACATCCACCAGGACAGAGGCCATTATCTAGGTATCAGGTTCGGTTAAGGTTAGATTAACATTCAGCACTTTCCAATCTAATTTTCACCTTTTTTGGAAGCACCAATGAAAACTGCTGACAAAAAAACTGAGATGCCAAAAAGAATATATGAAACCTAATCTGAAAAGTAACCGTTTCTAGTTTCTAAAAACAAAAACAACAAAAAAATCTAACATAATTAAATAAAAGCAACTCGAACCCTCAGTGGGTTCAAGTTGGAAGTCTTTGTTATGCCCTTATAAATCTTAATCTAAAGTCAAATTAAATATTAAAATAGATTACCTCACTCTGTTGTGCATTCTGTGGATCATCTTGAGCTAAACGACAGGGACAATACATCGGTCAGTAATATACCACAAATGTTTGATTGGACAATTTAAATGAAGTCGTACAAATACCTGTATGAAATCTCCTGATTTTAACAGCCAGACTAACGATGACCAGTAGAAGGAAAACAATTAAATTGCCCAGGATCACAGTCATCATTTGTTCATGTGTTAATCCATCAGCCACGTCTACAAAACGGACAATTAAAATCAAAACTTTACAAAGTCTACTGCCTGTTTTTACATTTACTCAAAATTGTATATAATTTTCTTTACAATAAAATACCATAAACAGCATTACTTACCTTGAACTTTTAAATATGTTCCACTTGAGATGATTGTCTTTCCATCAGTCTGTTTCTCTCCACAGAAATAAAGCGCAGAGTCAGAAGAATTCACTTGTTTGATCTCAAGAAATAACACAGAGGTGTTGGATGTCATGTGAAATTTGCTTTTTTTAAATCCATCACAGAAAGAAACGTTGCTATCAGAGCTGGACATAGCTGAGATGCAGCTGGCATTGGGACTGCTGGCCATTTTAAACCAAAATATGTGGGAGCGATATCTGCTGATATTGGAGCACTTCAGTGTGACTTCTTGACCAGGCTGAACCTCCGCTGTGTAAAACTGTGTGACCGAGGAAGAGATCCAACCTGAAACAAGCAAATATTCCTAAATGTCAAACTCCACACAAACCCAACAATGCCTATGAGTAAAGTTGGCTACAAGATTCAAATCACTTGGATTGTGGTACAGATTTAACCATTGTATGAGAAAATAGTGAAACGTGTACTTACTCATGGTGCAGAATAAAACTGGCATCAAGGTAAAGTTCACCATTGTGTGTACCACCACTACTGCAATGTTTGTAAGTGAACTGTGCTCCAGTAAAAGCAATCTCTGCATAAAGAGGCGGGCTGTTCTTTTATATGTACAGCTGCTTTGACTGAGAGTGCCAGTGCTTTTAGACGAATAGCTGCAAACTGAAAGCTGTAAGAAGAACAGAATATCTAGCTTTTACACAAATTTGGACATCTACAAAAGATGAGTCACTATATAATTTTATACAGTGTTATATTAGCTGTGCCTTTACCATGAAATATCCAACATGTTTTAAAATAAAAGTTTATGTGTTTACATCTTTACGTCTTTGCAACGATCTTTAACCACAGATATGTCAGCATAAGACAAATACTCCTGATATTAATAATTAAGTCAAGGTTCTCTGTTGATTTTGAAACTCATAACATGGCATAAAGTAAACTACTGACCACACAGTCAATACAATCTTCATGTTATAGTTGAACATGTTCAAATAAAGCACATACAATTCTTAAAGGGGAAAGTCTGTTTACTTAGTAACTAATAAACAGTTACCTGTGTGGTGATATTAACATTAATCATACAATATTAAGGGAGTACTTAAAATGCAAACTTGTATGAATGTGCACAACGTGCAAATTAATGACATGATCAGAAAAAGCAGCAGAAACCTTACCTGGCCAATGATAACTACTGGAATAGTCTTAGCAAGACTAGGGTTCACAAAGGCATGCTAGTCTGGAACCTTCACCTGGTGTGGTTTTAGTGTGTGATAACATCTTGAAATGTGTAACCAGGAGTAAACGCTTTGATATGAGATTGTGTAAGTTTCACCATGCTAGAGCAGCGAGTAGTGATGTCAGCAAGTTTTAAATCAGTTAAGTGTGACCAACAGTATTTACCACGCGGATCTGAACTGATCTATGTTTGTCTAGCACATGGAGATGCACAGTCTGAGCAGCTCGTCCAAGTAAACTGACTGAATAAGTTTCCGCTGTCTTAACAAATTAATAGCCTTTAAATGTGGAGCTCCTTACTGAACACGAAGAGCCTCACTGTCAGGTCAATTGTGACTTACAGCACACTACTACTCTCGCCTAGTGACCGTAGGCATGAGTAGAGATCTACATCAACTAGGAAATTGGCAGCTTTCCATTGCTCACCTCTTTCTTCACTGCAAAGCACTGATACATCGTCTCTGCCTTCTCCAAGTCCACAAAGCACTTGTAGATTGATTAGGCAAATCAATGCAGACATAACTCAAACACATCCACTAAATCTTCCACGCCCCTCTTGTTCATCTGTGAACAAGAACGAGATACAGAAATCCTCCATTTAAGGAAGCAACTCGTCCCTGACCTGAAGTGGACTCTTTTCTAGCTGAGAACCATGGCCATCAAGTTGGAGGTGCTAGTCCTCATTCCCACTGCTTCACACTTGACTGCAACACTGAAGATGTTGGCTACTGAACGCAACCCGATTATCTGCAAAAAGCTGAGACGAGATCAGAAACGAGATCAGAAAAGCCTTCTGTCACTTGGCTCCATCTAGAAATACTGTCCATAAAAATTATGGATAGAATAACAAAGGGCAGCCCAATTGGAACTAATCCAGTTTACTATCGGCAATGCAGGTCAGACTCTTTTTGCAGTTCTAAAGGGACTGAATGGCTTGTAGGAATGGTATCCATACTTCTAAAAGATCCTTCACAGCATTGCCTGACAGATAAAGTCAACTGCCTTCTCCAAGTCCACAAAGCACTTGTAGATTGATCAGGCAAATTGCTAGGCACCTCTGAATTTCTTCGATAGGCTACAGAGCTGCTCCAGCAGACTCCTCTTCAGTACTCTGGTGCAGACCTTTCCAGGGAAGTTGAGCAGTTTGAAACCATTATAATAGGAGCACACCCTCCGGTCACCACTCTTAAAGATGGGAATGCCAATACACAGGCACTGCATCTGATCTCAACGCAATGGTGCGGAGCGAATTTCATCCACCCTAAGGAATGCAATTTTAAATGTGTTTATTTATTACTTATATTACGTACTTTTTGAATTATTGTTTTAGCAATGTGATCTTTCTTTTTGGAGAATAATAAAAAATTGGTAGTTAACATTATTTGAGTATGATACAGGTAACTGTATTGGAAAAGTAGTTTGTTTCACAGAAGACCTGCATCTGACACGTTTAAGTTATCAATCACTGTTAAGGCGTTAAAGCCTGGAGCAGGGTAAGTAGTTTACGATGAAGATCTAAAAGTTTCACAATGCTTTCACAAGTTTGCAAGTTGTAGTTGTAGATGTTTATACACTATGTAGATGAAATTGCTTTAAGTCACATAGAAGTGTAAAGAAGTGTCACAACTGTCAAAATTCAACCGTTCAAGAGCGGGCTTTTATGTGTCTTTCAGTTAAAAAGTACAACAATCAAGATTTTTTAAATGGACTGAATATTTTATTCAGGCATGCAGCACATTGACATTACAGTAAAACAAAAAAACAACTTATTTCTAGGCCCTTTTAAATCTAAAAAAAAAAAAAAAAAGTACCTGTTTAAACTCTGTGCAAACAGGCTATTACTGAGCTATTCTCAGGCCTCACTGTGATGTCATCTCTTCCTGTCAAACAAGCCTCACTACCTCACTAAACCCTCGACAGCTGCATATTCTCACAATACAGTAGGCCCTAAACAGATATCAGCTTCTTCAAACACAAATCTTATTGCAAAAGAAAAGTAAAAGTAAAAAATCCACCCACAGGTCTCTCACAAAGAGCAGAATAAAAAGGCATCAGTTCAACTTTGAGATGCAGATCTGGTGGCTGCATACACAACATTAGAATGTGGCTCTCTTCTTCGTGGTTTTTGTCCAAATGTCACTGTGGCATAGTTCACATTATCAGAGGCCGGATCCTGTAAGGTATAAAAAGTCATGATGTGGAGTTTGAGAGAAAATGTCATGTGTGGCTGTTTGGCAGGCAGGATGAAGGATCCAAATGCAGGACTCACAAGAAGCCAAGGAGTGAACTCAGGGAGCAGGGCTCTACACCACTACACTTTTTATAAAATAAAAAGAAAGTCAAAATTAAAAGTGCCCCAAAGGCTTCGAACTAAACATCTCAGTATCTGAACATCTTACCTTGGGCATGGGCATCTGAGAGGTTCCGCCCTTGACTAGCTCTGATTGGTTTAGACCACGATATGGGCATAATGTTGTCTGCTGCTGGCCACACAGAGACTTTAAGAGCTGCGGAGACTTTTTTTTACTCAAATGGCTGGTTGCACTGGTGTGACCTAGGATTTTTTTTTGCATAACATTGGCACACTGGTGGAATGTGCAGGTGCCGCTATCCGATTCAGATACAGCCACATTTTTGATTTTGAGGAAAATGGTCGAGATATTGGAACTCATTTCAAAGTATCCACTTTCAAATTCCTCACAGTATGCAAGACTTTTATCATTGCTAAACATGACAGAGATACATTTTGGCTGGGCCCCGTTGCGCAGTCTGAACCAGAATGTTGCAGTATTACTTGTGGAAATGTTAGCGCACTGTAAGGTGACTTCTTCGCCTGGCTGGACCTCCACATTTTGAGAAACTGACATAGATATCCAGTCTGAAGAAAGCAGAGACGAGAAACAATTTACTTTCACTGAGCCCAAGGCTGCATAAATAATTCATCTGAATAAACATTAAAAGAGTCTAGTTTATACAGTTTACATGTTCCGGACCAATACTCACTGAAGCTGCAGAGAAGTAAAGCTGTTATCAAGATAAAGGTCTTCATGGTGAATGACTGCAGCAAAGCAATGTGTACTAGTGAACTGTCCTCTGGTAAGTGCGTCTGATGTAAAGAAGCTGTGTGTGTGTGTTTGTGTGTTTAACACCCCACGTTGCTCATTCTGTATCTTTAATCAACCACATGAGTGCTTTCTGTAAAACAGAGGTCAAAGTTCAGAGTAGTGGTTTTATGTTTTATGTGACCATATTATTTGGAGCGTGTTTAAAACAGAACTGTTATAAAACTTAATAAAAGAAAATATATAGGGTGCTTAAGTAACAAATCAATAAAATTCTTTAAATTAAGTCTCAAACTTGGAAAAAAGTTCTCTGAACTTGCACGGTCCAGTTCAGTAAGTGATGAGGCCAGCAGATAGCTAGAGGCTATACCACTAGTGTATGTGCTAGCACAAATATCAATCAAAGCTGCTGCCACACCACTAACTTTAAAGCTTACCAGTGTCATCATGGATAAAAACAAAGTAACACAAACCCCCTCCTCCCAAAAATACCTGCAGAAATCAAAGCTGTTTCTGTAGGTAAGCTTAAAGACCCCCAATAGGCCATTAGCAATTTTTTGGCAATTTCCAATTGGATTTATTTAAACACCTCTGTTGTTCTGGTGTGACTTTAACATGTAAAAAAACCCGATACCGTCATACTTCCTCTGGTTGACACCTCACTGGTTATGCAGATAAAAATACTGTTTGCTACCACAGAGGGCATGTGAAGTTCAGATATATCTGTAATAACTGGAACCTTTAATAGGTTTTGAATTTTGTGTCGTTAAAATATTTATTATATAGCACAGACAGTACACAGACAGTTACATCAGGGTTCCACATTAGTTACATTGGTTTTTCAAGATTGTTTGTAGTTAGCCACTATTCACTGCTTTGTTTGTGTGTTTTGTTAGTGTTGCCCTTTGTTATTTGTCTCCACAAAAGCCACACTAAGCTGCAAAACAGCACATGTAATATTATATGCATATGTAATATTATATGCATATTGTTTGTTCTTAGTCAAAATGTCACACAGTGTAGTTTTCATAATCAGAACTAATGTTCATTTCTTATTTTTTATCAATACACATAACTAATACATATCAATCTTAGAAGGCCCTGAGTAAATGTGGTTTCCCAGCTGGACTTTTGTCAAAGCTGGGAAGGCACCTAAAGAAAGTTCCAGCCGATCCAGGAGAGAAGGACGACTGCTGCCTAAGCGCAAACCTGTAGTGATCTCGGAGCAGCTGAAACGCATTTTTTCTAAACACCGG